ATGGTTGTAAGTGTGAGGACCACATAAGTCACTTTTTTCAGTGCCATTATACCATTGAATGTTGTTAAGCAAATGGCTGTAAGTTGTAAGATGGATGTAAGATGAATAGTTACACAGAAGCAAAGCATGATAGCAGACATGCATTTAGAAGCACAGTATGTAAGATATCTTGTTCTATTCTAATACCAAGTCAGTGATCTCAACAAGGGAGACCATGACAGCTATTTTTTATCCTATAGCAGGTGAAGAAAAAAAATCACAATGCTGTCTGAAAGAAAGTGCTGGTATTTTGCTGCATACGCTTGGCGGTTGACAATCTGGAACAACAAATCATAACATGACTTAGAACACTGAGCTTCGGGATTGTCAATATGTATCATCAATACTGAAGACACTGAAATGCCTTCACCATTACATCTTGATGGAAGAAGTAAGGTCTGTCCCCACCGTTCTTGCCTTCAGGAAATGCCTTAAAACTTGGCTATGTATGCTGGCTGGCATGGGGCCCTGAAGGAGGAACTGTTGGCTGGAGATGGCTAGTGTAGTAACAGAGAAACCGCCACCACCTCTCTGCTCCAGACCCATGGTTTTTAAGTTTGTTTTGATCTCTTGTAACTTCAATCATTTTTATATTTATATTTGTTTTTACTTCCATATGTTTTATTATGTTTAAGCCACTGAGTGTTACCTTGCACAGTAAGATGACCAACATATAAATTAGGTAGATAGATAATGGAAAAATAGATAGATAGATAGATAGATAGATAGATAGATAATGTGTTAGTCATTAATTTGTTTTCAGATGACATGGGACATATAATTAGTACAGATAAGCTAAGAACAACTCATTGCTCTGGACTGTTTGACATTTAACCACTGCTATACTATGTGCAAGGGACGCGATGGCTCTGTGGCTAAAATGCTGAGCTTGTCGATCGAAAGGACAGCAGTTCAGCGTTTCGAATCCCTAGTGCTGCGTAACGGGGTGAACTCCCGTTACTTGTCCCACGCAAGTAGAAAAATAGGGACCACATTTGGTGGGAAGGTAACAGCGTTCCATGCGCCTTGGCGTTTAGTCATGCCGGCCACATGACCATAGAGACATCTTCAGACAGCACTGGCTCTTCGGCTTTGAAACGGAGATGAGCACTGCTCCCTAAAGTTGGGGATGACTAGCACATATGTGCGAGGGGAACCTTTACCGTTACCTTATGTTCATGCACTCAATTCAATTGTCATAATTAGTTAATGACATCTGCAGGAAACCATAATAACACAAATATAATGAACGTGCATCAATAAATAGCATGAATGCAACTGAAAGAGAATTTAGAGGTCCAGACTAAAAGCCACCTAACCCAAATGCATCTTCCTGAAAATAATAAAGCAATTACAAAACAGCAATTTCCTAGGGCAACTAAAACTCAACTCAACCACAATAACATTAGAAGCCCAAGGAATGCTAATTAGCTGAAGCTTTAACCTCATCCTCTTTTGGCTTGTCTTTGCTTCCAATGCTTCAATAAGTGAATTAATGCTTCAGTGTAATGTAGCCTGGTCTTTGTTCCAGGCGTACTCTTGCAAAATTCTACAACACCAATAGGTAATTGAAGATGTTGCATGCAGGTACATAAGTTTTGGCATTTGCATGACTACATCATTATGCATGTATTATCTTTTGCCTCACTTATCTCTCTGAAAATACCTCTCACATCCTGCTTGCTGCAGCATGAAGACACTATTTTTGAAGGACAAATCCCCATGATATCCCACTCAGTCTGCTGCTCCATATCATCCCTGGCCTGTTGCTGAAGCTACCTAGAGTGGTCTTCACAGATACTCCTCAATGTCTATTCATTCAATGACAGTTCAAAGTTACGACTGCTGAAAAACTGGACTTTTGATTGATATTTATTTATTTATTTATAATTAATGACAGAAAAAGAGCAAAAGATAAAGATAATGATGGAGTACATAAACTATCAAAAAGAGAAAACAAAACATGGAAAGTGCTTTAACAAAAAGTGGAAAAAATGATAGAAAAATATGTTTATGTTACAATTCTATATATACTTATTTAATGCAAATATTAGTCAAGTATGTATATATTTCTAATATATTTATACATCTTTTTTAAAACTACTGTATTTTGTATGAGTCCCATATTTCCTTATACATGTCTAATAAGTCTACATCTATAGTTCTCGACTTATGACCATAATTGAGCTCAGAAGTTATGCTAGTTAATAAGTGGGTCATCACAACTGTGTCCAATTTTATTATCTTTTTTGCAGTAGTTAGAAAACAAATGCTGTGGTCTTTCTTCCTTCCTTTTTCCTAATTGGCTGCCCATTTTACCACAAGGTAATTCTGGGCAGTTTATAATAACAAAAGATACACAAACACACCAATTAATATTTGCAAATGCTATGATCCAATTACAGATGGGGAGGGTGGGGACAGGATTGATGGGGGGGGGATCTGTTGTTAAACAATCAACCACCTCCACTGTGATGTTCTCCCATTGGGTTCCCAAGTTAACTGGCAGAGCCAAGTCTCTAGGCCCTTATGAAAGGTCAGAAAGGTTGGAGCCAGCCTCACATTGGAGGAAAGATGTTCCAGAGGGAAGTTGTGTGATTTTTACCTGCTTTTGGTGTAACTATAATATAAATCTGTTTAAACACTGGTGATAAAATTCCCTTATCAAATATCTGTCATTTTGGCACCAGAAGATCTATGAATGTTTTATACCACTTGATAGGGAAGCCATCTAAACCTGTTTTTTTACAAGTTGACATTTCAAAAAACATTTGTTTACTCTCTACCTCAGATAGTGAAACAAATAAAAGCTGGTTTTGTGTAATTTAAATGTGGCAAATTAATTTTAGTTTAAAAGGCCTCGTATATCCTCATTCAATACACCATTTGGCTTATTATATAATTCTGAATAAAATTTTAAAAATTCACAATTTACATCCATTGAATGTAATGACTGATCCTTGAATTTATGACTATTACAGCATCCCTTATTCATGTGATAAAAAATTGAGGCAGACTGCATGCCTCCCCACCCCCAAGCTAATCTTTTGTCATCTTCACCTGCCTTCCTTCTCCTAGGCTCTCTATCCTGGCCATGCAGAGAAAGTACTGCATCTCTAGGGCTTCTTGCTTCGGGGCTGTTTGCACCCCCTCTGTACCATCCCCTAGCCCTAGTGCACATGTTGTCTCTCATTGGCCATCACCCATCCATTTACTTGCCTGCCAGCCTGCTTGTGAGCCACCTGGAAGTTGCAAGTGGCTGCTAATGGGGAAACTATGGACGCTGTGCTGAGGCATGTTGGGGTTAAATTTCAGGCTTCTGCTGGCTTCCAACAACCAAAATCAGTTGTTGGAAGCCAGCAGGGAAGCCTGAAATTTAACCCCAACATGCCTCAGCACAGCGTCCATAGTCTATAAATGATGGGAAGAAGCACAGTCTACCAAATGGGAGCAGCAGAGCTATAGTTTTACTAGACAAATGCATGTGTCCATGTTCAAAACCAACTCTGGATATTCCATATATGTTACATCCCATATAGCTGAATGAAAATCATGTGGATTTAAGGAAGGTATTGGCAATCCTGATAAGGTAAAAACACAGTCCCAATAGTGTAAAAGTATATTCCCAGGCAGACTTGCAGTGAATCAGTTAAGCCAGGATCGATTTGAAACACTTCAGTTCCATGGCCACCATGTCTGGGCTGTTACTTCTTCTCACATGAATTGAATTTCACCTCTCCTGCTTGCTTCCAAAAACTGTGAGTGCTTTCAATGAATAGCTATCACAAGGAAAACACAAACACAAGAGCTATGTACATGTAGAACAGGTAAAGATAGTTGGCATGAATATCTTTTTTGCTAATTCTCATGAGCTGACCTAAACCCAATTCAAAGCCTGCAAGTAACAGAAATCATACATACAAACACACAACATGTTGATCCATGTTCCATTAGTCTTGAAGCACCTTTGTTGTTTAAATAAATCATCTTTCAAGCCACTATTCAAAGCAGCTAATACATAGCAACTGAAATGATTCTAGAGAAGATTCCTCTTAAACTAGAGGAAGAAACCTCAGTCAATAATAATAATAATAATAATAATAATAATAATAATAATAATAATAATATTTCTGAAAAATTTTCTGATAAAAAATTTCTGTTTCTGAAAAAAAAAAAACAGAAAGCTTTATTTTGGCAGCTCAAGAACAAGCTCTAGCCACAAACTGCATGAAGGCAAAAATTCAACATGTTACCACCAACAGCAAATGCCGCCTCTGCAATGAGAAAAATGAGACAGTTGACCACCTGATCAGTGGATGCAGCAAAATTTCACAAACTGACTACCTACAACGCCATGACTGCGTTGCTAAGATCATTCACTGGAAATTGTGCCAGAAGTTTGGATTTGAGCACAGCAAAAACCACTGGGAACATCAGGTTGAGAAAGTTTTAAAGAATGAGAAACTCAAGATCTTGTGGGACTTTAGGATTCAGACTGACAGGCACTTGGTTCACAACACACCTGACATAACAATAGTTGAAAAGAAAAAAGTATGGTTCATTGACATTGCAATACCTGGTGATGCACGGATTGAAGATAAGCAGCAAGAAAAAATCATAAAGTACCGGGACTTGCAAATTGAAGTTGAGCGACTGTGGAAAAAGAAATTGTGTATTGTCCCGATTGTAATTGGAGCCCTTGGAGCAATACCCAAAGGGCTACCCCACTATTTAGAAATTCTAAATTTACCAGACTTGAACATTTTGACTCTACAAAAAACCACCTTACTTGGAACAGCTTACATCCTCCGACGATACCTTAACAGTTCCTAGGTCCTTGGTTAGGACTCAAGCTGCTGAGCTATTAACCAGCCTCAAAGGCTGTGAATCTTACTAAAGATTAAATAATAATAATAATAATAATAATAATAATAATAATAATAATAATATCATCACCATCATCGGGTTGTCATCTAGTTTTTTGTAGCCCAGATCTGGCAGCAATAACAGAAATTTTTGCCCCATTAATGAGGAATTCAACAGCCTCTTTAAAGTGTTCCCAGCATATAAGGTAGTAGCATACTATCCAACACTGAATCACTTACAATGCTGATTCATTGACTTTTGCCATGTGATTAAAGCCTAACTTTAAAGGCTATGATAATAGGTCATAATTTTTTAATAATTGTGAAAGATGGAGAAGCATACATGTCATTTACATGGCTTATTTTTCAATAAACTATTATTTTTTCTCAAAAATTTTTTTTGCTCAAAAGCTTAAAGATTTGTGTAACATATACAAAAACCTGATACAAGTTAACAGTCTAAAGCTGCTGATGCTTGTCAGAATTATTTAAACATATTGTGCAACTGCAGACACCACCAAATTGAATTAATTTTAGAAAAAAATAAAGTCTGTCCAACTTAGGTCCACAATATATTTCCTGGAACATTTATATAATCATTTCTACTGTCAAAGAACCAATAATTCTTTTCCAAGAGAATATAGCATTGTGAATCTTTTATGCTTTTTGGTATCAAAGTTGCTTTCAAATGTAATTCCCTTTGGAACTCAATGCACTCATAGGAAAGCCTAGGACTTGACTTGAATATATAACATGCCTTACTGCAGCCAAATCAACCTGAACGAGATGAAAAACAATTTCTACCAAGACAGACACCAGTTGTACTGTATATAGTGATAATGAAAGGTTAAATTTACAGGGGTTTTTCCCCTTCAACCCTCTTGTCACAAAGGATTGTCCCTTTCTTAGGCTTCTCTTTTATGGCTATCATGTCTTTTTTCCTTTCTTATTCCCAGCCTTTCCTTTTCCCTCCTACTTAATGTCAACCCTGCCCTCTGGTGGCAAAACCCTTTATATGATACTGAACTTTTTATGACCAAAGACTACCACTGCAGATGTCAATGTACAAACAAATTATGAGCCAGGTGGGAGACACCTAAGTGCCTATAAGGTACTTAGACCTAATCGGATATGACCTATGGGATTCCTGCTGATAACATTTACAACTGGGATGTGATTAATCAAGTGCTAAAACATGGTGTGACTAAATCTACAACCCTTAAGGAATGGAAATACTTCAAATGCTTGGCATACTTTTTACATATTACAACTCTGCCCATTAAATTTATCTATGAAAATGTTAATTAGATAGTAATCTTTTTAAATTTATTAAAACTTTCGTATGCTTTCTAGAAATAATAACCTTCTCATTCTTAAACCAAAAGAAATAATGACTCACAATGCAATTGTTTCCAAACTTACATCTACTTTATTATTAATATTCATCTATTTCTATCTATCTATTTACCATGTCTGTCTGTCTGTCTATCAAATTTATTTATTTAATTTTTAAAAGTCAATCTGTCTAGGGGCAAAAGATCTGTGTTTGAAACAGATTACTTGTTTTTGTGAATGTTGCCCATTGAGTCACAATTATAGAGCACATGGCTGCCTTGATTTTTGCCAAGTCCTGAAAATTTACTAGTAATATAAAAAGTAATTTCTGCAGTTGCTTAGAAAAATAGGCAAATGTGCATACAAAAGTAACTTACCAGGTTTATCAGAGTATGTTATAGCCTACTATAACATTGTGAATCAGCTTTCTTAACTGTTCCATGAATAAAGAGATCCTGCTGCTGCTGCTGCTTCTGAACAGAGTACAATTACATAAAAGTGTTTGCCCAGATATCTAAAGCAGAACTCTTTTTTTCATTAGTTCTGCCACAGCCATACATCTATTCAGAAATGTGACTGGAAAGACTAATATTAACAGAACGTTATCCAGAGATTTGGATAGACATTTGCCATCACATTTCCTTACTACTATACCATATTTCATCAGTGTTATTCAACAATGCAATGATAATAATCCTTTGAAGATACAAGCGGCAATTTAAGTTGCAAGATCTTGGGAATATACTGTATATGAGAAACAAACTACAATGAAAATGCAGCACAGAACATCAAGGATATAAATACTGATTATATGTATGATATTTAAAATAAAAATAAATAAGAAGGTTTATTGCAAGGAATAAACTTTGCCAGATTCAGAATCCAAGTTGACAACTTTAAAAAATGAAGCATTAATTCTTAATCTCATCTACTGAGGAGGTCACAAGATAGAAAAGTGGTATCGCATAGACCAAAATAGAGTAAGAATTCGGGACAAGTGAAATAGCAGTAACATAAAGTTGCACAACAACAAAGCATCTACCTATAGATCGAAACTAAAACTCAGGAAAAAAATTAATAATTATATCTCAGAAAGTCTGTGAAAATGAAAGGAAGGAATAGGATAAAAACAAGAGCCCGCCTTCTACCGCATAGCTCCCAGCGACCGGTAAGATCCCACGGAGTTGATCTTCTCCAGGTCCCGTCAGCTAAACAATGCTGGCTGGCGGGCCCACGGGGGAGGGCCTTCTCTGTGGCTGCCCCAGCTCTCTGGAACCAGTTACCTCCTGAGGTCCGGACCATCCCCACCCTATTGGCCTTCTGAAAAGGCGGTGAAGACCTGGCTTTTCCGGCAGGCCTGGGGCCGTTGATCTCGCTCTTGCGATCTGGCGAGATCCGGCCATGAATGGTATGAATGAGTTTTAATGTTTTTAATTTTTAAATGTTTTTTATTAGGATTTTAAATGTATTGTGAGCCGCCCTGAGTCTTCGGAGAGGGGCGGCATATAAATTGAATTAAATTAAAAATTAAAATTGAAAGAGAAAAATGTTCTATAACATAACAGCAACATCTTGGTCCAACTTTCTTGCTTAGAGGTTCCTTATCTTCTAAAGTAATACATACTTTTTTGTTGTTTGTATTTTTTAACCAGTAGGTTGAAGGCCAGCAGTGGATAGTTTCAGTAAATGAATCTTGCTTCGATGTAAGTCTTAAAGATCTTTTCAATGGCACAAATATAGGCAGCTGTTCTCTGATCCAAGCCTAGATTATACTTTGTGGCTATACTCATGATTTGCTAGAAAATAACATATAAATATAAGCAATGTGGACCTAGTATTCTGGTCTGAAACCAAAACCTAAAAAGTAATTATTGAATAAAAGTGGTACCACTGCAATAACATCTATTGCAGTAATGCAACAATGGATATTACAGATACACAAGCATAAAGTAAAAAGTCAACTGTATGAAAAACAAAATGATTTTTTTAAAGACAGTGATAGATAAATACAACTCAGAAACGCCTACCATGGCTGAACATTCCATGGTGAAAGCTAGTCCAGAGTGAACAATATCCTTCTCTGAGGCACCCTTTAAAAAAATATAAAATTAAGAAAAATACAGTATATCATTCTATTTTAATTAATCTAATTATTTCTCACTTTTGTTTTGCAAATGTAATGGACTGAATGGATTTGGAACTGTGGGTTGTAAAATACATACAGTGTATTGCTACCAGCCTATCTCAGGTCATTGATATGAGAACAAAATCAGTCCATGGGTGCTGACTTGCAACCTGAGACTTAACAGAAACCTCTTTCTTATTGCATTAGCAGGCTGTTTCAGAGACCTTCTTCTAGATCAGTGGCCCCCAACCTTTCAGGCACCAGGGACCACTTCCGTGGAAAGGTTTTTCTGTGGACCAGAGGGGCACAGTTTTGTGTGCTGCCTGCATCCAATGGATGGGGCTTCACTTGTTTGCATGACCCTGTTGATGGCATGCTGCAGACAGACAGTTGGGGAACCCCTTTTCTAGATAATGCTATCTTGGGCAAGGGCCGCCCAGTTGACTGTGGTAATTAGGCCTTCTTTTATGCCTGTTAAGAAAGTGGATAAAGGCTTTCTAGGCTGTCATCCACCTGCAAGTTGCATTCTTGCCTCTTCTGGCTTCTTTGGATAACTGGAATAGGGTGGGGTGGGATGGAGAGTGAGTTTATGCACTGGATCCAGGAGATGGGGAATGGTTCCATATGTGAAGATTCAATGCCCTTATTACCAGAAAGAGATGTTGGTTCCTTTCATTCTTGGATCTATACGTTTTAGAGAACCACCATCCAGTCTCTAACATTTCCTTTTTGGTGAAAGTTGTGAAGAATGAAATTCCCCATGTGTCTTCATGAAAAATATAGTGCCCTAGGTGTTTTTCATTTAAGATAATGTTCCAAAAGGGAAGGGAAGAGAAGGGAAGGGAAGAGGAGGGGGAGTTAAATAAATAACTTACTGCTATTCTAGCTTGGAATTCTGAGGTGGGTATAATAGGGATACTTCCACCGCTTTTCCCAAATTTTCTCTCCAGACTTTGTTGCACTGACATCAGCAGATGATAGTTAGAATCACGCTCATATTTGAAAGTAAGACGCCCATAGCTGACATGGTTGAGATTCTTCAGCCATTCAAAAAAGGAAACTATCACACCACCTGCATTTATGTATAAATCCTGCCACAAAGAAACAAATAGTTTCAGTCACTTGATGAATTCTCTGTAAGAGAACTCTGGGAATATGTTACACATTCATATAAAAATGCAACACAAAAATTTAAAAATAACAAACACATTATTGCTTGATTTCCAGTTACTGACAATGAAAATGAGCTCAGGCACCTGTATTGCAACACATTGATTATCTCGCAATCCGGAAGATAGAGAATAGCCAACTTTACTGCAGCACAGAAATTTATTTCCTGTACTGTGGATGAATGATAATACAGACTTCAGAAGCCTAGCCATTTGCCCCTTCCCTTCTTATATTAGCAACAGTGATTCAAGGTACTGAACAATTTGAGGTTATCATAATATTAGGAAGTCAGCCATTCAGTCTCTAAGTAAACAATTTATTACATTATCACTAGATGGTTTTTAAAAGGGGGGGGGCAGAAAAAACAATAGGAGGCAAAGGAAATAGTGTAATATCACAAACTATAAGAATCATAGTCAGAGAAAAAAACAACCTAATGCCAAATGTCACTGAGTGGCCAAACACCAGTCACAGATTTCTTGTTTTATTCATACTTGTACCATATGGTAGGTTTCAAGTTCTGTAAACTTCTGAATGTACACTGGTCCTTAGGACAGAAATTACTTCCTGGATTGACCAACTAAAAATATTTTAGGTCAAATGAATTATGGAAAGCCCCAAAAACATGTAGTTTAGTACTGTCTGGTCAAATACAGCATGACGACATTTTACGGCAATACAATGAATACGTCTTGCCCACAGCATAGCAAGGGGATTGTGCTATTCTATCTCCACCTCCACTTTAAATAGATGCATTTGATCTTTTTTCCCCCTTATTAAACAACCATTGCAGCCAAAGTTTTCAATGAACTCTTTCATAGGATCCCAAGAACACTTTCTTGGTTAGTCATCACACCTTCACATATTACATCAATGTAAATGTGCCTCTGTAGTCACCTCTGCTATTTTCCCATCTGTCCCCGAGATTGAAAAACAATTTGTTTGAGATTTCTCTGCTCTAAATAATTTGTACTGTCTATGAACATGGACATTATGCTGTTCATCTCAACTAGAGATTCTTTTTGAACACAAAACTTGGGACCCCAAATACAGCACCAGTGTCTTTCTTATCATTTATAAGAGTCCTACTTGAATAATTGACTTATTTATGGAGGGCGGGGTAGAGGGAAGTTTGCTGCAAAGCAAAACACTCTTCCTATTTAATTTTCATGCCTAAGAGGAACAGATTCCATAAGTTGCTGGTTCTTGATGCATGCCTACTTCCAATTCGTATCCTTGGGAGACTTCACTATTTACCTTATTGCACAGTGAGGATTATACTTACTCCTGTATTCGGCCAGCTATGGTGAAACTCAGTAATGAACTTAAGACAACCTCAACATTAGCGAATTACTGTTGAGTCCCAGGGAAAGGTTTGGTAAGTTTATATAACATCTGACTTTTTACATATTTTTTTCACTAAAAATCTCTCTGAGAAACGCTGTTACTAATAATCCAGTTAGGACTAGAGGATAAAACTTCCATCAAAGGCTAATTCAGAAATTCATTTATTTAAAGAAAGTATTCAGAACTATAGTAATAAAAGGAGCAGCACAGTGTATCACCTTAGTCCCGACACTAGAGGATTTAAATACATGTATTCTTTATTTCAGTCCAATGGACTGCAAATATTTATATCCCACAGGACAAGATTTATGACATTATGGACATGGTTTTAATTTTATAATTCATATTCAGGCTAATTTATATAGAAATACAACACAAAAATAAATATAATAAAATAAAGCCATATATTTATATCTTAACCTCATTTTGCTACCAAATTCAAAATTAGGAATTAATATACAAAGAGGTAACATTAAAAAATCCATACAAAAAAAATGCAAGTTGACTTGTGTATTCAATTTTTGTTAGATTGCTTTGGATATTTTCAATGTATTGCAAAATTCAGTCATGTTTAATTGCATTCCAAAAGGGTTATCCAGTTTTTCAAGGTGCTACAAGGTGGAGAATGCCCAATAGCAGCCTATAAGCTAGAGGCCCAAATAGCAGAGCATGGGCATTAATGGAGCCATCAGGTCTGCAGACATACCGGAAGTACAAGGATTTTTCTCTGCAAAAAGATGTCATGAGCATCTGGAGTTGTAGGGCCATTAGCACCTTCAGCAATAATCTGTGAGGCATGAAAAGATAAAAGAATAAAGCAGAATTATCATACCTAAAATGCAAACTTTAATTATATGTGATATGAAGTAGTCCTTTGTCTTATTTAAATCTTCTGCCAATTAGCTTGGTTGGCTGATTCTACTTTATAATATTTTGAGTTGAGAAAAATGTCTCTGTCTATTTTTTCTTGGTCATGAGTGATTTTACACACTTTGATATCTTTCTTCATTTACTTTTTTTTGTAAGCTAAAATGTTACATTAAAGAAGAATATTTGTAGCTCAGGGTTAAAATTAAGCTAAAATGTTACATTAAAGAAGAATATTTGTAGCTCAGGATTAAAATTAGAGACCCCTCATGTCTGTAACATTCTAATTTTCTCTCATCATGCAACTCACAACCATGAGTTACCTCATGCATTTTTACAAGACTTAAACACAATCCTCAATTTATGACAGGTCACTTAGCAACTGTTCGAGTTACAACAGAGCTTCCCAAAAGCTATTTATGATCTGGTTTTGAAGTTATTGCCACTGCCGCATCTGTGCAATCATTCACCTTCACAATTAACTGCAGGAACGCTGCAGCACCCTACCCCACCTATCTTCCCCTCATTCCCCCACAAACTTAAAGCCACAGGTCTTGTACCTACTTCCCATCCCACCAGGCACATACCCTCTTCCATATCCCCATTCACTTATCTTTGGAAGATATCTGGAATAACAGGTATCCCTTATGTTAGGGAAGGATGGTAGGTCGCCCCACCTCAGTGTCCCTGGCTGCATGGCTCCATCCTGGAAGCGGGCACCAGTGGCTACAATGAAACAGCAACTGAACCATCCCTGCCAGTGGCTTTCCTCCCACTGATGGCTTTCCCTATTGCAGCAGTGCTTACCCCAGCCTTTGCCCATCCCCCATTGCCAGGTTTGGGTTTAGCCCCCCCCCCAACCCTCCGCCCCACTCGGGGCACCAATCCTACCTGTCTGCAGTTACCAGGGATTTTGGCCTACTGTACAAGGGGCTATCAATTAGAAAAAGAAAAACAATCCACTGGAGTCAACATGGTGGTGGGGAAGAGCTTTAACGAAGAAGAGGAAGGAGTCACACAAACACACGTGCACACACATGTCTCAAACATTGCAAGAAGAAAGGAGAATTCCAAGTTTCTTTCTTGCAATGTTTGAGGTGCCTCTGTGTGTTTGTACATTTTCAAAAGATGTCTCCTTCGTCTCTAAAGCATTGGGCTTTAAAGAAGGTGAGTGTCAGGCACAGGAAATCAGGAGTCAAGATAGAGCTGAAAAGCACTTAAGAGTTTATTCCATGCAACCTATACACACGAATCTGATCTACTAACTGTTAAGGCAAATTGACGCCAGATAAGAGTCAATGGACTTCAAAGGGGGCTGAACTTAGGTCTCTTACAGGGGTGTAGCGACTCCAAATTGATGTGTTTGATCCCAGCCCTTGGGTTCAGCCAGGTCATTTCCTATATGAGGTGGGAGTTGTGCATATGCACTCACACATACATATATGTGTTATACACTGCAAGAAGGAGAACTTGAAATCTGGACTGGTATGCCTGAAACTTCCCATTCCAGCCAGGCTATAGCTTCTTTTCCAGCCTCCTACTGTTTGTATTGCATTGCAGCACCCTGTCCAACTCACACACTCCTACCCTCAAAGCACCCCTCCACTGGGATTCCATTCACTTCATGACCCATATTATTGGTTAATGACTGGTTCAATTCGTAATGTAAGTTTTGGGTTCATTGAACGAAAGTTTTGCTTAATGATCATCATAATTTACAATTACAATGGAAAGGCCCCCAAAAGAGCCACTCCTTCCAATGTTTTAAAGGAGGGGAGAAGAGGGTTACACACACACACACAAAATACAGAGCCAGTTTGGTCTATTTGCTAATGCACCAGATTAGAAGGCCAGACATTGTGAGTTTGAGCCTGGCCCTAGCTATGAATGCTGGCTGGGTAACCTTGGGTGGGATACACTCAAACACTGTGAGAAGAAAGAGAACTTGAAATCATCTTCTCCCTTGCAATGTTTGTGGTTGTAAGTCGAAGGCTACCTACATATCCTTTTAAAAATGCAGCAACCAGAAGAATACATGGTGCTCAATACACAGACAGCAAATATTTCCCTGAGGGTAACTAAATTAGTTTTATTTTAGGATACTTTCTTACTGATATGTAATAGGGAACTTACTATTTTTCATAGTCACTGCATATTGGAGTTGTCCTCTTCACTGAGCTATCAGGTAGGACCTCAATAAAGTAGTCCTCGATTTACAACAATTCATTTAATGACAACTTAGTTACAATGGCACTGAAAAAAGTGACTTATGACTATTTGTCGCACTTACAATCATTGAAGCATCCTCATGGTCACATGATCAAAATTCAGACACTTGGCAACTGACTCATATTTATGACAGTTGCAGTGTCATAAACTTTTTTTGCGACCTTCTCACTCAATGGGGGATATCAGATTCACTTAGCAACCTTGTTACTAATTTAATAACTGCAGTGATTTGCTTAATAACTGTGGCAAGAAAGGTTGTATAATGGGGTAAAACTGACTTAACAAATGTTTCACTTGGCAACAGAAATTTTGGGCTCAATTGTCATAAATTGAGGATTACCTGTACATTTTTTTATCATCTAACCAGGCCTCAGATTTTTTTTTCTTACTAGAAACAAGATTAATGGTTTATGAGACTAAAAACAACTGTCTCTAAACAATACCTTTGCTTGGACATGATGAGCGTTTGCCTTTGTAAGCTGTTTCTCCATAGCAGCTGGAATAAGGATATCACAAGGTACCTCAAGGGCACTGCCCTCAAGTTTCTTAGCCTTTGGAAAACCAACAATGGTGCCATGTTCCTGGAATAAAAACTTCAGTTAGCCAAGCCAAGAGAGAAAAACCAGGGAAATATATTTTTCACCACTATTTAATGGTTCATCTGTGCCTGAAACAGGCTAGGGCCTATCTGCATTGGATTATTTTTAGAGAAAAAACTCACCAGTACCCTCATGTACAGGTAGTCCCCAAGTTATGACAACAAGTGAGATCAAAATTTATGTTGCTAAGTGAAACATTTGTTAAGTGAGTTTGGCCCATTTTATGACCTTTCTTGCTATAGTTGTTAAATGAATCATTGCATTTGGGAAGTTAATGACATGGCTGTTAAATGAATCTGGATTTCCCATTGACTTTGCTTGTCAGAAGGTCACAAAAGCTGATCACATGATTCCAGGACACTGCAACCATCATATATGTGAAGCATCTGAATTTTGATCATGTGACCATAGGGAGGCTGCATTGGTCGTAAGTCACTTTTTTCAGTGCCATTGTAATTTTGAACGGTCACTAAATGGACTGTTTTAAGTTGAGTTACTTGTATTCAACATACTTGTTTGTAGTGTTGTAGTTCATTGGAATCAATTCCATCGGTGTTATAGATGGCACCATCTACTTCTTCAACGCATATACAGCATGCTCCAGATCGCTGCAGGTATCGCATTGAGTGAAAACCCACATTGCCAAATCCCTGTGAAAGCAAAATTGGGAAAACATGGAGCAAATTTTCAGTCAGCAACAAAACACACATACACTGTCTTGACTAAGAAGGAAGATCTGTTTCTGCTGTGAATGTTCCCTTGACAGCTGGCAGAACTCAGAAATTCCCAATATATATATCCTCCCCAACATTTGTAAGCATCTCTAATCTATATCTTCATAGACAGAATCCCCGCCTCTCCCATTCTCTCATAGACTGGAAGTCAGTGGGATTTACTCGTCTCCTCAGTTGAGGCTTAAATTGAAATAAAGGTAACATCTGTTCCAAAGGTGATATATTCTCTAGAGAAATTATTAGCTTTTTCTTATTGTACTTGATTTAATTTCTTTTTAGGTCTCTTTATGATTTTTGCTTTTGTTGTCTGTTTAACCCCCTTACAGTATTTTCCTATGGGAGATACTTCTAAGCTACCCTCTCTAATTTCATATTTTCAGTTTTAAATTCACTCATCACTAAATGCTTTCCAAATAAATACTTTAAATTAACAATTAATGTTTAGCTTTCCTCTTTTCCTTTTAAAAATAAACATTAACATTTATTTACCTCTTGAAACACTGGCCTATCTCCAAAAGAAGGTGGCTCATTTCCCTAGTCATACATTTAATATTACAAGTTCTGGAGGTGACTCTACTGAACTTATTTCATTGCTACTCAACTGCTTGTTCTTTTACTTATCCATAAAGACATTGGAATCTGATACAACAATGTTGGGAGTTGTAAAAAACAATACCAGGTAAACAGATAATTCTGGAAGATACCAGTAAGTGTCAGCAACAGTAACTACCAAGCAGCTACGCTAAGACAGAATCAGGGGTGTATATGAGGGTTTCTGGCAGAGGAAATTCGAGACCTCAAATCTTTCACTCTACAAATATAGCCTTGCTGATAGAGCTGATTAGGCATTTTAAGAGTTGATTGTGCTATTATGTATTAGACATTTATCCAGGCAGAATTAGTCAGGCTGAATAATTACATCTTTAACAAAAATCAGCAGTTTAAGAATGTGCTTTATTTCTTTCTCCTGATTTCTAGCCTGATGCCTTAATCACTACACCAAACTGGCTCTCCTTGCGTATATGTGTGCCTTCAAGTCAGCATTGACTTTTGATGACTGCCTAGGCCCTAGACAAAGCCCTGTGGTTTTCTTGGCAAGATTTCAGAAAAAAATCTACTTGTTTGGCATTTAAGAATTGATTGCCCTATCAAGTTAAATGCATTAGATATTTATCCAGGCAGAATTAGTCAAATTGAAGGATCATTACATCTTTAACAATCATGACCGGTTTTAAAACGTGCTTTATTATTTTTTTTCATTTTATTTTGCAATATGATTCTATTTAGCTTTCATTAAAATGCTCTTTGTTTTATTGAAACTGGGCATTACAAGTTCGATGGTTAACAAACAGAAAAGCTCAATGAACTGGTCCATGTGGCATCATTTCCCCATGTTAATTTGCAGAAAAGAAGTTAACTAGGTCCTCGATCCAGCTATTCAAACAAACCTCTCTCCACGTTCTATTTTTAATATATTAGCGTTTCAGTTCTTTAATTTTTGCGTCTGGTCTAAAGTTCGTCCTCTTCCGTTTTATTCTCCTCGTCGTTTGCCGCCCATTTAAATTCTGAGTTTTCTCTTGCCCGCTGAAATCATCTTCTCCTCTTCGGTTTCCACCGAAATAAAAATATTTTAAATTGTTCTCAGTTTGCTCACACCGCCAGTCTTTGCACCGTACTCACTCTTCTGCTTCCCGTTGGGTCTCTCTCGGGGCGTCGGGCCTCTGAGTCAGCCGCACCGGCCAGCTTCTTCTAAGTTCGGAATGAGGGTCCTTCTTGGTGTGGCGGGAGATCGCACTTCTCCTCGCCTCCTCCGAAGATTCCCCTCCTTACTGCCCATCCCTTCAGGACTGATCTTCGCCCGAAAGGGCTCCAAAAACTTAGAAATTCGGCACTGGGAACAGAGCACTTCTTTTCCCATGCCGCCACGACCCTACGTCACCGCCGAAAGAAATTGGACACTACATTCATCCGCTTTTTAGCTGCCCCAACGGAAAGAAAGAGGTTGTTTTGCAAAGTAAGAAACGCTTACGTGTGATTGTGCAGATTGCAGATCGCCATATTGAATCATTCTAAGCCAGAAAGGAAATCAGAAACGGAAAAAAAGGCTACAGTGAAGATATATCAGAAACTTTTATAAAAATATATAATAATTTGGACATATAGAACTCTTGATAATATATTATTATTTCTTTTTTCCCTCTTCCTTTGGACATAAACATACATCTACTGGAACTTGTTACTCCTTTTATATTTATTCCTATTCACTTTGTAGTAAATTATTAATTGAAACGTTACAGAAATATCAACAGTACATATTTTATATAGAACTTATAAATAACCGATAAATATCCTTTAGAATATCTTTTAGAATTATTTATAATTGCAAAATTTCATTTATATAATTAATTATAGCAATTATTACTAACTGTTCTATAATTAAGTACGGATTATTTAAGTACTTATTTTGTCATTTTAAGTTTAGTATTTATATAGTAGTAATTAAGTATTTAAGGGTAATGGACTATTTAATTGATTGACTGAATAATAGATTAATTGACTGATTAATAGGTAGGAGTGTTGATTTTGGAGAAACTGTAAAAGTACTAATGAATTGAATATATGAAAAGGAAAAGTGGAAATTAAGTTATGTCACGAGTGTTTCCAGGATTGCTGTGGCTATCTGCCTACTCACAAACAGTATGGTTTTAATCAAGCCATCTGCTGTTGGCAATTACCTGCAAGCCTTCCCCGCCCTAGTTAATTGCAGGTTAACTCCCTATATAAGCAAGGACCTTTTGCTTGCTACTTGGGCCTAGTCTAATCTAGGCCTAAATGCACAGCTCCTGCAGGAAGCTTGTTGCAACGCCGCAGATGGGAGAAGAATGCAGATAAGGACTCCAGACGCCGCTACAGAGAGACTCCCACGGATGCTTGCCTTTTGCTGTTTTGTAGCACGCAAGCTATCATCGGGACTGCTGTTGCTGGACCTTCTTCCTCCCACAAGCTTCAAGCAATGTTTGCTTTTTGAACTGTTTTTACTTCAGGTGACTTTCAGCTGTGAAGCTCGTGCTGCTCCCACCATGATGGCCTTGATGATGTATCGACGCCGAAGCTGCTTACCTTCATGCTAGCTTTATTCTTTCGTGAACCGTTTCGGTATTGTGGAGAGGGATCTAGGGAGATAGCCTTGTTTCACATACCCAGATAAGACTTTGTTTTTAATGTGTTTTCTTAAAGACATAGTGCTTTTTAAATGTTTTAAAGTAAATTATATTTTTACACAAGACGCCTCTGTCAGAATCATTTCAGTCTCAGTGTGTTTACTCATGAGCTGGTTCACGGTCCGGGGTACCCCTCAACCCCATTTCGTCACAAGTTAGGAGTTAGGTAGCCCAATATAGTTGGAGGATAAAAAAAAAAAAAAGAAGGAAGGAAGGAAAGTAGGGAAAGAAAGAAGCTATATAGAATTTGGATGGTGATTTGGGAGAAGGTGGATAAGATATTGGTGGAACAATACAGAATACTTAAGGAGATGACTAGTACCACCACAACGACGCTGAAATCAGGGAAGAAAACCGCATCAGTACTAGTTGGACCGTCAGCCTCCCCAGTGACCCAGAGGACCTTAGAGGGAATGTTTTCATCAGAGAAGCAGCCGACCGTATTAAGTATGCCAACAATGCAGGCCACACTCATGACAATACAAGAGACCATGGTTAAAATGCGGGACTACATGACTAGGAACCATGAAGAAACCAGGAAGGACATGGATGAGGTCAAGAGAGAGATAAAAAGTGATATCCAGAAGATAGATGAAAAGATGGATTCGATACAGGAAATTATAACAAAAAACGACCAAAGGATAATAGCCATAGAAAAGAAAACAGACTTAAATCTTTAGACTTAAAAATGATGGGACTAAATAAAGAATTAGAAAACACTGTAGCACAATTAGAGATGGAAAGAGCTGCATTCTATTTACGTTTCCAAAATGTGGCTGAAGACAGAGAGGAGGATCTAACGTTAGTAATGGCGGAGATGATAGCAGATGCCCTCCAAAGAGAGAAGGACGAAATAATAAACGAATTGGACGAAGTATACAGAGTCCATACAAATTACACTCGACAAAACAAATTACCCTGGGAGGTACATATACGATTTGTGAGAAGGAAAGTCAGAGACATTGTATATAAAATAATAAAGGATGATCCCATGTTTTACAGGAATAAAGAAATAATTACCTTGAAACAAATCTCTAAAAGAGTAAGAGAGATGCGGAAAGATTATTGATTCTTAGCCACATTACTAAACAAGAGATATATACCTTTTAGATGGATAACACTAGAAGGGATGCTGGTAACATGGCAGGGAAAGAAAATAAGGGTGGACACACAAAGCAAAGCAAGGGAATTACATGATCAAGTGATGGGTAATGAAACAACAAGTAATAGTAAAGAGGAGTTGGGACGGAACACCATAGGAAAACAGACGAGAGTGTGAAAGAGTGCCAAAGGAAGGAGAAAAAGGAGGAAGGAGAGATTCAAGAGGAAGAAGGAGTACAAACAAGGAGGGGAAAAAAGGAACAGGAAGAAATAAAAAAGAAACAACAGGAAAACCACTAAGAAATGGAACAAGACCTAAAAATTCTATCTTTGAATGTAAACGGTCTCAATTCACCATCTAAAAGACACCAAATTTTAAGAAAAATTGTGAAACAAAAAATAGATATTGTGTGCCTCCAGGAGGTACACATAAGAAAACAAAACGAAAAGTATGTACAATATAAGAAGCTAGGCAAAGCATATGCAGCATTGGCGGAGGAGAAAAAAAGAGGGGTTGTAGTATATGTGAAAGAAGGAATTTAAAATATGTAGACACGATAGGGAGAACAGTGATGATAGAGCTGAAGGTCAACG